TTTTTTTGTTCTTTTGTCAAAACATAGTATGAACTCTGAATATACAATAAATAAAAAATAAATTAACAAAGTCTTTCCATCATTGGTCTTCATTCAGTTTTCTAACAAGGAATAATTTGTCTAAAAATCAAACTTTTAACCTCTCTGAAGCCAAGGAAATGCTATATCAAAACATGTTTTTTTAAATCTTTTTCTGGTGGTCTAGTTTTTGGCAGTTGTGCAGTGATGACTTTGTTTACTGCGGATGTTTGTCTATTGATATTTTGTACTTTTTGCTCCTGTAATATTGATCCTGGGTAATATTTTCAGAGAAATAGCTGAGTGACTTTGGCAGCAAAGTCCTTATTTCAAAATTATCTAAGATAGAAGCCTAAGTATTTTTGACTGAGTGACATTTAGAGCTTAAGCTCTTTTTAGAATAATGCTTCAGAAAAACTTACTCTATGAAGAATGTTATAATAAAAAAATCATACAAATAAAAATTAAATGAAGAGATGATAACCCTGGAATGTAAATATATTGTGGCTAGAAAATATATATAGTTGGCTGATAGGCTGATAGTGTTCTGTTATTGCTGTATTCTTTTCACATCCCCAGCAATTTCTTTTTTCTGTTTATATAAACTATTAATTTCTGAAGCTATCTTTTATACTGTAAAACTATCTCTAAAAGAGTAAGAGAAGTAAAAAATGTTCTTCCACTATAGCTACTGATCAACGTCTAACACCACCTATAACTAACACTGATAATAAAAGTGCATGAAACTCCATCATATCAACCTGGCTCACATTGGCTTCAGTTTACAGTTAATCACTACTCCCCTGTCAGAAAGATTTCATCTGTCTCATAGTATGTTAGGAGAAAGGAAGACAGATACAAGAAAATAGCTGATGATAGTTTATATATTGGATATCAATATGTATTCAAGAATCAACTCAAAAATATATATATATATATTTTTTAATACATTAATCAGTTTTGAAGTCAGAAGTATGTCTGTGCTCATGTAGTCTGAGATTCAGCATAGCACAGGCCACAGAATTTTTGCATAGTGATTCCAATATCTAGCCCAATAAATTATAGCTGGACTAGAAATTTATCTTTTAGAAAGACATCTTATTTTGATTTATACAACTTTCAGCCATTAGTCTCCAACATAAGTGACATGTAGAGGAGGCATGAGGGGGCACATGCCCCCCTTGAAATTGGCCATTGCCAGCCAGGGAGTGGGCAAAGCCAGTCAGTGCCCACCCTGAGAAGCGCTGGTGGCACTTCCAGTTTTGCAAGGAGCACTTCCAGGTTACCATCGGCACTTCCCCCCCAGCCAGCAATTGGCTGCTCCCCACCAGTGATTGGCCACTGGTACCCCTTCCCTCCCCACCGCCCTCCCGAGCCAAGAGGCACCAGTTGCCCATGGTCTCCAAGATTAAATTGTCTTTTAGGTATAGCCTCTCCCTGTGAACTTAATTTTAGATCATGATAAAGTCTTGTAACCATCTTTTCAATACGTTTAATAGGCTGAGGACCAGTTCTACAAAAAAGACCTGGGGATCTAAAGTGAGACAGGCATAATTTTAGGCACTTAAGTCTAAGAAAACCTTACCTAACTCCATAAATCATAGGAAAGTAGGGCTGGAAGTGACCTCATGAGATCATTTAGTTCATTCCCATGATCAAGGCAGTACAAGGTCCATACAAATCACAGTGATTACCTGTGTGTTCATTCAAAAGAAATGAGGTAGATGTTGTATCAGTGCCCCTTTTATTCAAACGACTGTTTCATGTAAAAAAAAAAATAAACATTTTTTTTAGGAAAAGGGCCAGAACCACTATTTCCTGTCTCTCAGATGAACTTCCTCTTCCCAAAGACCCAGAGATCCATGTTCCTCTTAAATTTTCTGTCCCTGTTGCTCAATGTATCTGTCCTGAGCTGTCCTGAGCCCTGCCTGTAGCCAGGTGATTGTGACTATCTTTTGAGAAGTGGAAGATATGGGCTTGAGATCCTTAGGATTCCAAAGGAATGCAGCTCTTCCACCTTCTTGGCAAGTTCTGTAACCAGGCACTGAAAAGATGTCAGTAACACCTTATCCCCACCTCCACTTCATCCTTCATTTAAAAAAAAATCTTATTTCATTTTTCAAAGGAATGAATTAAATGAGTAGCTGCTAATGGCCTTTGTGTATGTCCTCCTTCTTTAACCTGTCGGTCAACTTTGGCTTAATACACCACTGTATTTCACTGCCTCCTTCTGAAATAGTTATTAAAGTAAGATTTGCCCAATTCAGGCTTTTTATAGTGCATTTACAGTACTTTCTGAACCAGTTGTTTTGTAAAGTAGCTTCATAATCCTGCTTTTAGATAAAACAATATGCTGCTTGGAGTTGAATTAATGTTTTTCCTCCCCACTAAGCTACATGATAAGAATATGTTCATACATGCTAGGCGGGTCACTTTTGGCAGTATCCTGCTAGGAACTTGAATTGCTCACCAGCATTAGCATCACCAGCCAAGTTTTTAATTTATCCAGGTCTTGGTAATAAAATTTAATTCTACTACATCTAAGGAATACCTAAGGAAATTGCATTTTTTTGCCAAGCAACTTGGGAAAATGATTGCCATTTGAGCATATTTTTTGTCAATAATAGTATTTCATCTAGAATAAAAGCTGGCTTTACTACCATTTATAACTGGTCCAAACCCTTGCATTCTTCTTATACTCGTAGGCATCACATGTCCCTATTCATGGGGGCCACCCAGAGCACGAAGTTCCTCCCTGCTGTATTGTCACATACCCCAAAAAACACACAGAGTTTACACAGGGATAATTCCTTTATGCCCAGCAAGAGACATTTAATAGTTCTACCCACTCTTTACTTGACTAAACCATATCCAAAACCATAAAATATAGATACAGATAGCAGAATATATGGTCATAACAGTAACATAAACAGATGCAGCATAACACTGGCTTTCCAAGAGACCCACATATGCCGTGTCAGGACAGCATAGTACAACAAAACATTTATGAAATGTTATGAACACCCAAAACATAATAGGGTTCATGACAAGAGGATCATAAGAAAGTAGGGCTGGGTAGGGACCTCACAAGGTCATCTAGTCTATCTCACGGGGGAGGATCATCTCTGACTAAATTCCAGCCAAGTGTCTGTCCAGCTTGCTCTTGAAAACTTCCAGGAATGGAGATTTCACAAATTCTCTTGGCAGCCTGTTCCAGTGCCTGATCCACCCTCATAGTCAGAAAGTTCCTTCTTATGTCCAGTCTAAATTTCTCCTGCTGCAACTTGAGGCCATTGCTCCTAGCCCTGTCCCTTACAGCCACAGAGAAAAACCCATCTCCAACCTCTCTATGATCTCCCTTCAGGTATTTGAGAAGTGTTTATCAAAGCCCTCTTCAGTCTTCTCTTCTAACTCTCGTTTTTCTCTTCAGACAAACTCTCATTAACATTAATGGCAGCTTTCCAAAAAAAGACCAGGTAAGGATTTAGCAGGAACGGAGGAAGGGCTTTTCATTACTTAATCCTCAGCATGGCTTCTAGAAGAAAAGATTTTCAGATTTCTTGAGGCTGGAGAATTTGAAGGGCATTGAGAGCAAAAATATTCTTAGCACAAAAGTTCCCTTTTTGGTTTCTCCATTCCCCCCTAGCCCCAATAAAAGTTTTTCCTTGATTTTAGATTGAAGGTAGATGGCTAAAGATACCTATGTGGTACAACTTTATTAGGGTACTGTTATGATTATAGGCTAAAGTCATCTTATTTATCTAGTGTATAATAGGATGGCAGGACCTTCACTTTGTGCATTTAAATTGCATAGTCAAGGATAAATTAAATCAGCCTTCTGAGTTTTCATGACAATACAAGTTTTCAGGGTTAATAGAATAATTTAATTTTTAAAACAGAGAAACCATATTTGAGTTATGAGAGAGAATTTTTGGAAATCACATATTTACATGTATTTATAAGCAATAACTAAGTGTGCTGAGAGATTTTCGTTCTTTAAACTTTCCTGGGAATTGAAGCTACTTTACACCGCACAAAATTGAGTTCCATCTATTATGTTATTAAGTTTGATTGTCTGGAATAGTGTGAGATGGCCTAAAATAGTTTATCCTGATTGCATAGAAAATCAGCTAGTAGATTATGTGCATATCATACTTCGGGGCTTTCTGAAAACAAATCACTGATATACCGCATTGAAATGCTTAAAGAATTATAAATGTTCAGTAGAAAAATTGAAAAGTATAAAATATAAATGCTCTTTGTTATATTTAAGGTATGCTATATTAAGAAAACAGGAAAATGTTTTAAAAATAATATAAAACATAAACATAATCAGGATGGCTGGGATAAAATTATGAATGAGGCAAAATGATTAAAAGGAAATGAAGCCCAAAAACCAGCAGCAGTTTGGTAAGTACAAAAAAAGAAAGAAAAGTTCCCTCTGTTGACTAGGAATATATTTATTCTTCAAGCAATATTTTGTAGCTTTTGTCCTCTAAGCTAAGCACCATTTTACACATTCCAAATACCCATACCCTGTTTATACAGAATAATATTTTAATAAAGAGGAAAAGTCACTTTGCAAAATATATCTGTACATTTTTGGTTTATGTGCAGCTATAACCCTTATACTGACCTTCATTTGTTTCTTTCTTTCCTATAAATCTGCTGTAAAGATTTGCCTCCAGGTTTTATAATCTTGATTCCTCCTTGACTCCCAAACTGTCCTCAGCACCTGATTTATCACCTACTGTTTTCAGTGAACTGATTTTTAATAACATTTTGTATTATATTACACACATATTTTAAGAATCTTTAAATAATGTATCACTTTGTTACAGATTCAACATTATTTTTTTCTCATTTTGTTATGATGGTTCTAGTGTGAACTCCCACTTCCAGAGATCATTTCAAAGTATAGTTACAATTCTTTCTGGGCTGTCATTTTATCCACCTCTTTTCTTTTCTCCATCTTCTCTCAGCTAGCAGAATCCATCATGGCATCTGATCTTGAAATGGTAAGCTGTTATCTGACTATTAGTTGACATTTTACCATATGTTCTCAAATAGCATGGGTAGTAAACTTCCTATGTAGTGTCCCTCTGTTCAGTGTTGTGTTCCCACGGATAGCAGCTGAGGTTGCTGCCAACGCATATCATCTCTTAAGATATTGATATACATTAGGTTAAAAATGACAACATATGTCAAAAAATGTCCCTTGTAAATAGAATCTCAAGGACTTGTTGTGACATGACAGAAAATATCCAAGTTTATACTTGTATATTTTGGCTCTACTACAAACCACTCTATGTTGCAGAAGGGTGACCCACTGGGTAAGACCAGTTCTGGCCCATAAAAATCTCTGCCCCAAAATATAATGCTTCAGGTGCCAGTTCTCCTTCTCGTCATCATTCTTATCCTATACTCACTCTCCTTCATTTGGGCTGTGGGAGGAGGTTCTTTCAATCCAAGGGAAGGGCAGAAAAAAGATCTCATGTTGTCTATTTGTGGGATGGTTGCATTACCTATACCTAAATGATAAGAGGACTGTGGAGCACAATCTATGCTCCTATATCAGCTGTCAGGATAAGAAGCTGTGGATACTGCATGGGGTGACTCATTGATTCTTGTTGAATTTGAAACATCTTTTAATGTTAGTTGAATTCCAGAATGGAACTTACAGTTGACAGACCTCTTGGGGTTCCTCATTTTGTCACAGATCTAGACAGGGTCACATACAAAGTTCAGATCCTCAGTCGCTATAATTTAAATACTTTGGCTAGGTACAGAAGTTACACATACATTGGTATAAGTGATTGGAAACTGGTCTAAACCTGTAACAGAACAGAAATTCAGTGCACATAGACTGGTTTAAAAATGGTGGAACCCACTCTAAGATAGACCTGGATCTATGTCGTATCAGACTTAATTGGTTTAGATTTGACCAGTCTATCAAACTGCTGCACCAGATCCACCCCCACCCCTCAACACAAATTAGGTCTTGGTCCTCTGGCATCCCAGGCTCCTTTGTGGGTACCCTCTAAACCCTCATTTACAGGGCCTGCCCCTGGGCTGTCACAGAGCTCAGGCAGTAAAGCCTCTGCCCCCCAGCCCTGCATTATGCCTACACTTGTCAGCTGAACAGGGCAGCAGGGAGGAGGGGGGAAGAGCGCCCCCTGCCATGGCCCCTCAGAACTCAGGTCTGCACAGCTGGGAGATGCCTGCATGGCAGGGGGCTTCCACCCCCCTGCGCTACCCACTGCCAGGCTCATCTGGCCAGCAGGGCCCCTCTCTGCATCCCCATGTCCATGCCAGATGCTGTCTCTAAGTGGAGGGGGAGGGTGGGAATGGAGCTCCTGGCCCCAATCCTGGTCCTCCTAGAGTTCAGATCTGTGCAACTTGGTGGAGCCTATGGAACAGGACCTTCCCCCCCACTGCCTGCTGCCCAACTTGTCTGGCCAGCAGGGCCCCTCTCCATAGTCCTGCCCCCTGCCAATCACTGTCTTTCAGGAGCAGGGGGGAGGATGGCTGCATTCCTCCCTTCCCCCCCCACTGCTGAGAGGCAGCGGCTGGCAGTAGGGGGGCTGTTGAAAGGGGTCCTGCTATCCAACCAAGCTGGGAAGCCTCCCTGTTCACATCCCCACACCTCCCTCTGCTCTGGGCTGCCTGCTGGCTGAGCCAGGACCCATGGCTGGGCAGAAGGGCTGTGGTCTGACAGAGCCAAAGCCTCTGCACCCTGCCCCACCATTGCTCTGAGGAGCCCAAACCATCCATTTGCAGAGTGCTTCTCTATGCCCGCCCCCATGCCACTACCAAGTGGGCTGTCAGGCATCCCATGGTGACCTGCTCTGGAAGCCTAGGGCTTGGCACAGGGGTGGGTCTGCAGAGGCAGCAGGGCATGGGGGCGGGGGTTGTGCCTGACAGCCAATCAGAGATGGCCCCCTCTGGGCTGCACTCAGCTTCCCTTTGGCAATTTCTGGCATGCTGGGAGGCATGTAGGAGTACCGTACACCTTCTGGACTCAGCCAGTGCAGGCATCTGCATTCCCTCCCCTCCCCTCCCCTCCCCCCCTGCCCCCCCGAACTGAAGGGTGAATGTATGTTCTGTTCATTCTCAATCCACTCTACGGAGATGGTTTGATAGATTCTGCCTCAGGCTTTTTGAATGTCTGTACTTAGCCATTCTCTCTAGGATCTCCACCCCAGGAGCCCACTGGGCCATGGCTTTCCAGACTTTCCAGAGGGATTTTGAAAATGTCATTATTTGTTGTTAAAAAAGATAAAACACAAGGATATATAGATCATTAAAGGGGGAAGAAGGAATAGTCTAAAAACACCTTGAATGAAACACCCCTCCCTTCCCCGACAGTATCTTTCATATGTGTTCACCCTGCCAGATCAGATTCCCATAGCAGTTCCTATTAACTTGAGTTGGTGAAAATAGCTTCTCCTTGCTACAAAGCTTGCTCTTCCTATCTCTTGTCTTAAGATTAATGTGTTTCCTCCTTATCTGTGACCAGTGAGTCCATTTTAAACCTTCTTTCATCACATCTAACCCTTTGTTTTTCTGGGGAAAAGTTTTACTCCCCAAATTCCCTTTCTGAAAACCAGTACATAGAAAAAATGGTCCTCACAGTTTCAGCCTCCTCCATCAACATATCTAGTGTTGGTCAAAGCACAGCCACTGAAATATTCTTCACTGCCCTGAGGCTTGTGAGTACATGCTGAAAAGTCTCGTCTGCAAAGATAGATATGCATGTTGTGATGCAACAGTTTTTATAGAAACAACTTCTTGCTGCTTCCCAGGATTTTTAAATTGTACATAGAGTTCTAAACTATTTGCACCCCTTAAATATTATTTACTGGCATACTCACTGCTATGTTAGCATAAGCATATTGATTCCATGAGCCACTTCCATGAATGCAGTTGCCTAGCAAAAAAAAAAGTTACGGCTTCCTCGTAACATTGCATAATCACCTCTGAGGCAGATGATATTCTATATATACAGGACTGCTGAGGCAGCTTTTGGATTATCATGGAATTATTTTCTTATTTTCACAGTGGTATGTTTTCTGTCATCATTTTAGTTCCACTGACATGTGCCAGTCAATGTAGTAAAACTTCTAGATGCTTACTTGTATTGGTTCTCTTTCTTTCTCTTTCTTTAAAGTGTGTATGTCTAGAGAGACAGCGGGTGAGAGAGAGAAACAGTAAACAACTATATTATCATGGAACAGTGAAATGACTGTAACAAAATGTTCTTTTTAAAAAGAAAATTCTGGAGAGTTAAATTAGTAAATTGCATGATTTGTAATTTTATTTTTAAATCTGTAGCATATGTAAATGAAGATCCTTTTTCTCTCATAGTCTGTTCCTGATCAGTGAAAAAGACAACAAATACAAATTGTTCTTGGGTGGAATAATTTAACAAAGCCTATTTTGTTATGCAGATTAACTGTAGGTGTTACATTATCTACATTTTCTGAGATTGTTAGCAAGCTTGCTCCAAAATGTACAAATTTCAGTCTTCCTCACTGTGTGTATAACAACTCAGATTTAGAGAATTGGCCTGTTTGTGAACAGGCTCCAAACCCCTCTGAAAGGCTTCTGTTTTAAGTTGACAATGCCAAAGACATCTATAAGGAAGTTATCAGTTTGGTCATCTTTCATTTAGAACACATTAAGGTTTAGAGAAAAGATGATTAAGCCACTTCCTCAATAGCCTCTTTAATTGAATTGTCTCCAAATTGCCTAAGAAAAGAATGGAAAGAGGTAATTAGCCATGTTAGTCTGAAGTCAGGCAGAAGACAGGGTAGATTTATACCTTATAGACTGTAGACTTCATCAGATGCTGTGTGAGCTCGGGTTCGTGAAAGCTTATGATTTATTTTATAAGAAGCAAATCTATACTGCTTTCTGCCTAAAAAAGGAATATCAGTATGAGAATGATAACTTAGGGTATAGAATGCAGTATAACCTCATAAATCCAGATATCAAAAATCCATAATTATCAAAAATCTGGCACTTTTTTAAACTACACTCCACTGGGGAGTAGCAGCAGCCAGTCCCAGAGCAGCGGAGGAAGAAGCTTGCACGCGGTGGCTGCCACTACCATCCACCACTCCATATCATCGCTCCATGTAGGTCGCTGCTACCCCCTACCCCCAGCTCCAGGACCGGCTGTCGCTCCAATTTAAAAAATCCCGATTTTTCACATTTCCAGCAGGTGCTCAGTCCCAAGCATGCCAGATTCATGAAGTTATACTGTATCGGGTATGACAAGATGGGTGCTTGAGACCATCACAGACAATATATCCTTTAATTCAACAATGCTACATTATGCTTTGGGGTTCATGGTATGTCATGCATGTTTTCTTGTGGTTTATTATACTGGTATGCAATCTCTTTGGAAAGCCCATATTATGTAGTATCCATTTATGTTGCTCTCATCACTGTATAGATTGTTACACTGTCTATTTATATCTTTATAATTTTGGGCATGGTTCAGGTAATGGGATGAGGTATGCATACTCAAAGATAATTGCCCCTCCTAGACTCAGGCAGAAGGAGACATCATTGAGTTGGGCATTGCAGAACATAGTCTACCTGTAATAGAAAAATCAACTTCACAATAGAGAGACACCTGGAAAAATGGCCCTCCCTCAAGAGGGGTCCAGGTGTCTCAGAAACAAGAATTTTTTGGAGAATTCCAGTGACTTACATGGGGGTAGTTGGAAATGATTTACAAAGATAGCTGTGGACTATGCTGGATCTTTAGGATTTTTCGGAGACCCCAGTTGCCATGGCTGATAGAAGCAACAGGAAGGCTGATCTCTAGAAACACTGGCAGGTCTCTCAGACGGGCTAAGGTGTAGCTAGATGAGAAAGTAAGAGAATGCACTTGTTTTGCTTTTCTGTCTCCAGACCTTTTCTTGTATACTTATTTTCTCCCGTATAATGAATCCTTTTGTTATTGTCTCTCCAGGCTGTTTGCCTGTGGAAAGAATGATCTCTAAGC